CCTTGACAAGGTCATTCAGTTCACCTTGTGTTATAAGGTGTGGTTCAGAGGAGGAGGATGGGAGAAAATGTGGGTCCTGTGACATTGATGGTTCAGGACCAGAAGTTTCATCCTCTTCCTCGTCTGACTCAAGTGAGAATGATTCTGGTGCATCAGGAACCGGCAGTCCTTCTCCGTGGGGTACTGGGCGTATAGCTGATGGAATGTTTGGATAATGCACAGTCCACTTTTTCTTCTTTGGCACACCTTTCCCAACTGGAGGCACCATGCAGAAGTAACAATTGCTGGTATGATCTGTTGGCTCTCTCCAAATCATTGGCACTGCAAAAGGCATAGATTTCCTTTTCCTGTTCAACCACTGGCGAAGATTTGTTGCACAAGTGTTGCAGCATATGTGTGGGGCCCACCTCTTGTCCTGATCTCCAATTTTGCAGCCAAAATAAAGGTGAAAGGCTTTCTTAACCATAGTGGTTATACTGCACTTTTGTGATGCAAAAGTCACTTCACCACAAACATAGCAGAAGTTATCTGCACTGTTCACACAAGTACGAGGCATCTCTGCTCACTTTGGCTAAACAGAAATGTGTCCCTTTGCAAAATCAAACACTGACAAATAAGAGAGCACGACACTGTATGATTTCTAGAGGTGATATAGGGCAATTTGTTCAGCAGAGTGATGTAAGCTTCGTTATGATTGCATCATCCATGACTTCTAGGAATAACATGATGCAATTCATATCATGTATGACGCAATACCAGCTTCAGATTGCATCAGTCATTGTTTTGCCTAAAAAGCAAGTACTGTCCAAACCCAGTCATAGATTTATTCATAGATCCAGTCAAAGATGTATTTTAGTCATTTCTGGTTTAAATTGAGATCCCTTCCCTTTATAACTCACTTATCCTCCGCCATTCCCAAGTCAAGGGTCGTATATACTGAGCCAATCAACAATTTTAAGCATCATTTTCGTTCTCAGTGACCCAGAATTTGACTACATTTATTTCAGAAGCATTTTGGCTGTAGAGCAGTGTTATGGAAAACTTCATACTCTCACAGTTTCTGATGCCTATCCTATGCCCAGAATTGATAAAATGTTATATTTTGCTTTGCCCAAAGTATCTCTTAGCACAACTGATCTGGTAAAAGGGTACTGGCAGATTCCTTTGGACAACGACACATAGAAGAAATCTACTTTTATTACTGATATGGGTTGGAACTTCATGAGTTCAAAAATGTTATCTTTTGGATTAATTAATGCAGGAGCCACTTTTCAGAGGCTTGTCAACCAAGTGCTAAACAGTTTACAAGACTTCACATGATAACATAGCGATGTTCAGCTACTCTTGGTCACTTCACAAGAGACACTGGAGGGCTGTACTTTCAAAACTCAGAGATGCAAGTCTTACTGTGAAGGCCTTTAAATGTAAAATAGAAGCAGCAAACGTTCCTTATTTGGGACACTGTGTAAGATGGTGGCCAAATCTCTCCTGATCCCTTGAAAGTAGAAGCTATTCACCCCAGACCAAAAAGCAGATCCAATCTTTCATAGGCATGGTTAACTATTACTGCCGATTTATGCATGAGTTCATTGACATTATGTCCGCTATCACAAACTTCTGCAAGAAGACAAAGCCAAACAGAGTGCTGTGGACAAAAGCTTGTCAAGAGAGTTTTGATAAAGAAAATCTTGTCAGAAAAGCCTGTTGCGGCCAGTCCAGATTTTGACAAAATGCGCATGAATGCATCAGACATTGGTTTAGATTCAGTTCTAATGCAGTCAGGGGAAAGTAGCAAAAAGCAGTCCACTGCTTTCTTGAGTAAAAAAATCGGCACCCACCAAACAGAATTACTCTGTCATAGAAAAGAGTGGTATGCCATTGTATGGGTTATCATGCAATTAAGGCCCTTTCTCTAACAGAAAATTCAGGGTTCTAACTGACCACTCTCCATCAGTTTGGTTACACAGAACCAAGGACACCAATTCCAAACTGCTGCGAAGGAGTAGAGATGCTCCAAGAATACATGGAAATTGTGCATATTAAAAGGGAAAGAAAATATAGTGGTAGATGGTCTGTCCAGGATTCTGATCCACTGCTTACAGTTCAGCCTGTGGCTGACCATCCTGCAGCACTGTAAGAGGGGAGGTGTGACCCTAGGAGCCCCTCAGTGCTAACTGGCAGAGAGCCCACCATATTTAACTCCTATCAGACCTGACACACTCATTACCCCTCAACATACTTTTGTCATAATATGTATCTAAAAGGTGTCATGTTTCATATGTAAATTGGTGACATGCTGGTCCCAAAAATCACTTAGTGATGTACATACATATTATGTACGAAGAGTCATATGCGTGTGCTGGAAATGTGTTCCTAAAATGTATTTGGGAGGCAATGCATAAAGCCAGCCTGCCCTAGGCAAAGGAATGTGTATTTACCTGCCTGACTAGCTTGATAACTGGCAAAGAACAATGAAAGTACATTTACATGTACGGCAGACAAAGCTATCAAGTTAACAAGCTAGTGAGCTCAATAGGGGGACCGGGGACCAGGGGCTCCTGGCTCTTGAGGTCTAGAAAATGGACTTTGGGTAATATAAGTGTGACGTTGCACTCTATATGATTTTATGAAAATATGCTAATGAGTTTGAATATAATGTAACTGAAATATGCTTCATGCAAAAGATCTCTTGTAAGATATCATTACAAAGCTTATAATCTACTGAGTATGGTCATCCTATTTGTATAAATGTATCACTCTTGTATCTGAAACTAGAAGTATGAAATATAACTCTGAAGGCCTATTGTAATTATGCAAAGTGCGGGCCATTAATTGTGGTTTGGAATCTTGATGGCTCCCATCAACCAGGACAATTGACTGCAGATGGCTCTGTTTTACTTGTTAGTCTTTCTGGATATGTGTGTGCTGGCAAGTGGGTAATGAAATCTTACAATGACATGTGATCAAGTCATCTGAACTGGAATCCATCTTTAACCTCGTGCTTTTCCATTGAGAAGGAGGGGGACAAAGGATTCCTGCCTTATGCAAAAGATATATTAAGTGGGTGGAACAGAACAAAGAGGGGAGGAGCCATCATGAGAAATCCCCCAGCTACCACCTGAGCTGGAATAAGGGCCGTACCAGGGGAAAGGATTGTGCCCAGAATAGGAAGACATCCAGTATGTGAAAAAAACGTACTGAAACATCTCTGAGGGTGAGATTTTATCTGTATTCAGTTTTATTATTGTACTACACTCAGACTTG